TTTGAGCTCCCGACAAATCCTATAGGCATTTCTCGCTAATCCTTGACCTTTGACCTCCCGAAAATACATATACAGACGGGCATACACACTCATTTTCGTGCCTATGGCCCTTCCTTCAGTCGAGGGAGTAGCAAAGTTCGATCAGAACCTTGAAAAGCCTTTAAAAAAAAAGTTTGTTTCTGATTGGCCAATTCCCGACCCATGAAACCTCGGCCAAAGAAGTGGGCTTCGGTTTCGGATTCACAGCCCACGATAACCTATAGCAAAGTTCGATCAAAATGGCCAAAAGTCTTAAAATAAGTTAACCCCGCATATATGTTTTTTTGACCCCAATCAAGCAAACAAACAAACAACCGCATTTTATTTCGTATGACCCTCCCTTCAGTCGAGGGAATAACATATTATGTGATTAGTCATAACAATGTATTTTAGACATAAAATAAGATGTTGTTGATAATTTAACGTAAATAAAATTATAATATTGATGATCCGAGCTGACTTTAGAAGATTTTCTAAGATTTTTCATGCGTATAGATGGCAACAGAGAATATTTCTGCAAGGAGATAACATAGCACTTCCAATAGAAAAATAACTTTAAATAATTAGAAACAATCCAAAGTATGTAGCAGTAACTTGAAGTACTTCAATATGTGTCTTCTTTAATCAAAGAAAGTTATTGGTTATTATTGACATTTTCATGAAAACTCATCTTGTTATTAATAGGTTTTTTGTGTTGGACTATGTACGAAAAAGTACGAATTTCCATCTGAAAGTAAAAGTGAATTCATCTATGCATTAGCTTATGTAGCATGGAGCCCCTTATACAAGAATAATGAAAGATCTGCAAAAATTTCTTATAATATTTATGGTAATACTCCAAGTCGAACTGTTGCCTTTGAATTCAATGAAACTATTTATGAAAAACAAGACAAAAAACAATATCTTCACTTTCAAGTGTTATTCTTCGAAGCTCAACCTAATATTATTCAGTTCATCTATCTCGATGTGTCTAGTAGTAGCAAATCTGGTTCAATTGGTGTACTAAGTAAAAATGAATATCAATGAGTGAATTCGTTTTTTTTTTAATACTATTAATTTATCATTTAGGTATGGATGAACGACCAATGCTTCGGTATTCTCCTGAACAACCCTTTTTTATGCTGCAAGATGTGTCTATCACATTTGATACCAATAATAATACATACACTGCCGTCCACTTTTGTGGATCAAAAACATGTACATTGAATGAAGCATGTATACAAGAGATGTGTGTCGAACGAGGTAATTTGAGTTTCGCTGCTCGATGGTCTCATCGAAATGGTCGAGGTCATCTTATTATTCGAACACCACTTAATAATACTATTTATTATGGTAAACCTCGCACCAATTCTTCTTTTGATGAAGGTCGACATGAATTAGTGGATGATGGTAATCAGGTTGACCATATTTATTGGCCATTGAATAGTATACCACCAATAGGATCTTACAAGGTTTGTTTTAGTACTGGTAGTCTGTTGAATGGTACTGATCAATCATCAATTACAGTGACAATAGAAATACGACACATTGGACAACCAATTGAAACAATGATTCATACTTTTAACAAATCTACAACGACTTTGAATGAATGTTTAGAAAGAAGTGATACATTTATCGGATTATATTCAATAGGTATGTTTTCGCTGAATGTAAAATTTGTTACAAATGAACACATTAATATAGAAATTTGAAGGTTTTGAATGTGGATGTTGATGATGTGAGAATGAAAATATTCATACCGATTCTTCTGAACACTCAGTTTACTTGATTTGTATACAAAAACTTATATTTCTAGTGATTTGTGAGTGGCCCTACGAGCGATCACCACCTGCAACTTGTGTCAACGTATTAATTGATCGAAACAATTGTGGTAAAATCGGTAAAACATGTGACACTAGTTATAGAAGCTGTTCGCGTGGTAAATGTAGTATGGCCCCAGCCGTTCAGCTAAACAAACCAATAATTCTTGTTCAAGGAGCCATCAATAAAGTGCTATTTATTCCTACAATCTCTGTTTCTTTACCGTTCAACATTACACTATACAACAAGTCGACAAATAACGTTAAACTATCAAAGAAAGGGGTGAGTGGCCATTGACAAGAAGTACTTTAAAGAATATTTTTCTTTCTTTCGATAAAGTTTAATGAATCGCAATGAAATTTTAGTGCAAGAAAAAACTTAAAAGAAATATACTCTTTGACATAAGTTTTTGATTACCTTTCAAGAATATGTTTTCAAGAAAAAGACTTGAATTCAAGTATTGTCTAATGCTTTAAATGAATTATGAATTGAATAGAATAAATACAATCTGCCTTTGTTGAAAGAGATTAAGACGAAATTGTATGTATTGATAAATAAAAGCTCACTAGTAATATTGCAAAAGAAAGACTGAAAATAATGGAAACTTTTTCCGTATAAATTTCTCACGCTTATATTAGTATTAAAATTCACATGATATGTGACCTTCTCTTCAATAGATTCTATGTTTCGACAAATGTACGGGTTATGAATCTATGGAAGCTCTACCATCCTACCATTTCAATAGTCCAACAGCTCTTCCATACTGGGACGAGTTAGTCATTAGTGACGGAACATCTGAAGGAATCTATTATTTTATCAATGGTAATACGTCTAACCGAACGGTTATTTTTGAATACTATTTGACACATGATACACAACCAAACGAATACTGCCATTTTCAAGTCTTGTTCTTTGAAGCTAAACCAAATATTGTTCAATATATCTATCTCGATGTAACTAATGGTGGAAAAACAGCTACTGTTGGTATACAAGGTAAATGGGTAG